TGAGTGCTTTCTTGTTCACTGAGTTCGACTGTCTGAAATAGACGACGTTCGTCTGTAGTGCGACCACACATTTCTACAGTGTCGCTCACACGAGGGGCCCAGCGATATCTCTCTCTTTTACGAGAGGTACAAGTCCCGTCTTGACTATCTACAATCCAACACATGATTCGTTTCGTACGTGATACACGCCTTTATAGTCCTCCTGTTACGCAGGACGTTTGACGTATTCAAAGCACGCAACTCCTCATATTGGATTCCGTAGATATCTCAGGTCTTAGGATCCAATCATGGAACCGCCATATGAGATTCAAGTCATGACGCTAGTCCATGTGACAATCTCATGCGGGTCAATCCAGTATTCCGTTCTCCAACGAATACCTATGACAATGATCGTATCCAATACCTATGATCATCGCTATGATCATCAATCACACATCATACTAGTCTTATTATGTCATCATTCCCATAATGACATAAGACTAGGGAGTTTAGTATCATTCATAATGATACATGGATTTCATAACAGATCTAGTATGTAAGAACATGTAATGAATCAAATACTCTCATAAAACCATAGAAAGTATCAATACATCGAATGTATCTGAATAAAACTCATAAACAGTACATCATAGAGCACTAAACCAACAATACTTGCGATATTTGTTGAGTCTAGGATATTATTACTTGATCGAATTTATACACCTAGATTTGCGACATCACATAGCAACAAGATGTATCCACCTTTTCGGTTGTCCATCTCAAGAGAACCCCAAAGTTAAACATTCTCGTTTTGGAGCAGTCTTAGAATGGGTGACCTACTGGGAAGTATTTTCTGGGATTTGTGCAAGTGAGGACAAAACACGCTAAAAAGTCTCTTGTTGGTGTGTGAGGATAGCTTTGATATTTCGTAGCGGTCTCGGATGGTTACAATGTCCATATTCGTCCTATCGTTCGAACGTTGGCGTGATTATATCATCGCCTCAATTACAATCATATCTCATATAGGTGGCATCCGATCCGGATCGAATGTCCCATGGATGCGACGCAATCTGAACCCTTTCGAATTAATATTAACGCCATACTAGTTACCCCACTCACAAACATTTATATATTTTTTTTAGAGAAAATAACATATAAATATCTAAACTTTTACAAAAATCTCATATAAATACCTGAGCCGTAAAACTTTTCTATAAATACCTGAACTTTTAAAAATCCTATATAAAGACCTAGACTTTAAAATTTTTTTCCAAATAACTACAAATTTCAGGTATTTTTTAAATAAAAATAAGTGATATTATTAACGTATTTTAGATTTATTTGGGAGTTTTTTAGAAGTCTGGACATTGATATAGGATTTTAGAAAAATTCAGGTATTTATATAAAAATTTTATAGTTCAGGTATTTATGTGGAATTTTTGTAAAAATTCAGATATTTATATGCGATTTTCCTTTTTTTACTATACAGGCATTTTCGTTTGCACAATTTTTTAATTCTCCTTGTAATAATTTTATATACTTCTTTTCAGTTCATTATATTAAATTTACCCAATTGTACTTCCGGTTTGACCTAACCTAGTCTCGGTACACCCGGATAATCAGTTCAGTTTATTTCATGGTTTTTAGACTTAACTGACATTCTATTTGGGGTACAGACTATGTGGCGTCCGGTCTGACCAGTATTTCATTTCGGTTTGGTTTGACGTTTGACTCGAATAGTATTTTCTGGAGTGGACCGTTCGGTCTAAATATTAGACCGGCTCGATCCATGTCTTTTTAGAGGTTTAAATTTTTATTTCTCTCTTCTTCATTTAGACCGGGTTGGTCTAATGTCTAGATCGACTGGTCTAGTTTTTCTCTCCCTCGTCTAGCTTATTCTATGAATTTTTAGAATTTCAGCTTGATTTTTCTCTGGATCAGTTGGTCCAACCCCTGGACCGATCGATCCAAACCTTTTCTTTCTTCTAGATTAGTCTGTCCAGACCGGTCGGTCCATCACTTTGGACCGGTCGGTCTGAACCATCTAGACCTATCGGTCTATACACTTGTCTGGACCGGTCGGTCTAGATGTTCTGGATCAGTCGGTCTAGACACTTGTGTGGACCAGTCGGTCTGGACTCGTCTTCAACCTCTACACATCGTGAATTCTTCTGCAACCTAGATCGATCTGTTCTACCCTAGACTTGTCGATCTAATGCTTAGTATTCACCAAAATCACTCAAACATGCATGATTTGCTATGGAAAATTCACTAAAACTCATACAATCTCATATTGAACATGAATCAAGAGTTAATTTTGCACGGAAACATCCAAAAACTCAAATATCATATGAGAATAATTCCGAATTAAACTCGAATTCACTCACCTCGGGTTATGCTCGCGTGTTAGGTGTTGAATGGGAAGCTTGCTAGAGTTTCACTTGGTCTGTGAAAGCAAAAAAAGGATGTGAATTTCTCAGATTTGAGAGATGATTCGGTTCTCAAGACTGATGAATAATGAGGATGCAGGAATGGTTAAATAGAGCTTGAATTGGACAAATCTTGGGCGGAAAATCCGGACACATCGTAGAAAAATTGCGTACTAAGGTCTTTACGGTCGAGAAAATCAAGTTTAGGTCGAAAAATAGAGTGTCGATGGTTTTAAGGTTGAAATCCAGTCAAAAATTGCGATTTTTCCGTCTATCCAATGCCTGGACCAGTCGGTCTATGTCTAGATCGATCGATATAGGTCAGTGTGGTTTGTTTGGCCTTGCCGACAACCTGCACCGGTTGATCCAGACAATTTGTTTTTTTTTTTAAATCTTGGATTGTTACAGAAGTGTCCAAAATTCTCAAACAATATTTTTTTTAGAAAACTGAATTTTTTGGAATCGAATCGAGCCGAATCGAATTTTAAAAAATTCTTAAAAAGATCCATTTTTTTTAAATAAAAACCGAAACATTAATTCCTTCTATTGGACATGCCCATTTCAATTTATAAAATTATACAAGATTATGGAAATGTGTTTTGTCTAAAGAATTATGTTATAAGCTTTTTTGGTTTACTCTTATTAGAGCAAACATTTATTCTTTCAACTTCTTTCAGAAAATGGGCATGCGTTCGTTCACGGACAGCCAGGGTTTTGACCTGGTCCGCCAAAGTAGATGTAAGTTCTCCAGTTAGGATCGTTACTCCCATGAGCTAAATTGTAACATTTCGCATTATCCATGTCGACTTTAACGTTCTCGGCATCCCTCTTGACGTGATGCTCGTCGACTATGAAAATGTGGTCCATGCTGCACGACTTCTTGAACCCTTCCTCCGCGAAGTGGCCGCTTCCCATGTCGGTGTTCGTGTGTCGGCCGCCTACTTTAAAATTCAAGATCTCGCCTCCCCAATCGACGGCCGATGCAGAGCCCTTTAGATGCGACAAGATTGATTTCGGCCAATACCCGACACTCACATCATTCACAATGAGCCACCAATCTCCACTCTGGGGATCCTGCAAAACAATTACTTCTCTATACAGTTATATATGAAGTTTTTTTTACCGTGATTTAGGCCAAAGACTCAAGATTTCTTTCTTTTTACCTTCATTATAAGTAGTGTGACCTTAAATTGTTCGCCATCGTAGGTTGAAACTCGGTCAAAGGTAGCACCAATACCGATCCCTTGGTTGGTTTGGACAAAGCCGGAACACAGGTGGTTGTAGCAGCCTGTTTTGTAACGATCAGCCTGTTTTTTGTTGAGTTTCCCATTTCAGCATCACACATGAGAATGACTTATTAGCTACGTCGTATGCCAATATGGGAAAATACGAGGAAATATTAGACCATGATCAAGCAAACTTACGGTCCATAAAATAAAGAGACGGGGGTTATCGTCACCGTACAATCTTGGATACACCTATGAACAAATGTTTTTGAACCATCGCTCGAGTCAGAGTCAAAATCATAAATGATCAGACATACGAATGAAACAAGACCAACGGAAAAAAAACCTGCCAACCAGCTTCGAGGGAATTAAGATCCGGAGCATCAATACCGCCCACAATCCACATCTGGGCCAAACTAAACTCATTCCATTCTTGAACATGTGGTTTCCACACGTTGATTGCAGCTTCTATTCCGTTATATATTCCTCCTCTCCCTCGAATTATGGCATACTTATGCAAAAAGGGTCAATGACAATAACATACTTGAGGATTGAATATTTGTGAAATTGCTAACAAAAATATACCTCATGTATAGTGGGATCAAAATTTGCAGCTGGGTGAGATCCATAGTTACGGATGGCATTTGGATCTTTTTTCCCGTAACTTCCGATGGAACCCCACCGTAAGAGATCTTTCCTTGTTGTTCTTCTTATTGGTACGGTGTTTTCTGGGCATTTTCCACTCCTTTGCCATAACTGAGTACTTATGAGCCCCGATTGTTTTTTATCGTTTCTAAAAAGATCTTTTGGGATAAAACTCGGTCTCATCTATTTGGCAATCCGAACGACACAAAAGAAATAATGTAAAATAAATAGCAAATCAACAAAAAAAAAAGATTCAAAAGGAGAAAAGCAAAACAACTTGTAAAGAAAAAAGATATATACCTGAATAGTGTGGTTCTTTAGTAAAGGATGATCAAACGCGAGTTGGTTGGTGATGTTAACACAATCAAATATATCTCCATCTAAACTCTGTTCAAATACCAACATGAAAAGTGATACACTAACATAACATAATCGAAACATGAACATATCCCACGTCACGAAATCTATATATACGAATTAAGAAATTTTATAATTTATATATGTATGTGTACTTATACATATACCTTGATGGATTTGACAGCAGGCTTATTGATTCGTTTCAAGTGTCTTTGAATCTCAACTTCTTGTAGTTCTGAAATCTCTCTCCTACCGGAGGAGGTTGTGATTACCAACGCCGTGATTACAAGAAACAGCATCGAACTGACAGTCCGATGAAACATGAAGACATGAGAAGCCATTCAAAAAGACAATATCAAACGCTTTGTGGTTGCCGCTATGTTCCCAATGCTTGGGATTGATATGCATAGAATTGGTTTATTTAATAAATTTTTTTTTTGGAATCTTTGTGATTGGTGCTATGTCTCTTGAATTTGGATTATGGTTTCTATTTTTAATATATTTTTTTCTATTTCTACAAATCCAATGGACATATTATTTATATATAGGGAATGCTGATTTGTTTCTCGAAATAAATTAATTACAATCTCCGTTAACCCTGTAATATAGTATGCAATTTTATTGGATATTAAAGGTTAATTATGAATACTCAAATAGGATATCAATGTCTATAAATTTGGATTCTAGATCAGGTTACTCAATATAAAGATACATTGAATATTCGGAAAACTATTATAATATTATTATGTAGTACTTGAATTTAATTTTATTATTATGTAGTGCTCTATGATGTACTGTTTGCGAGCTTTACTTGGATACATCTGATGTATTGACGTTTTCTATGATTTTATGGATGAGTGTTTGATTCATTACGTATTGTGCATGCTTTAATATGTTATGAAATCCGTGTATTGTTATGAACAATACTAAACTCCCTAGTCATATGTCATTATGGGAATAATGATGTAATAAGACTAGTATGATGTATGATTGATGACCATATAGATGATCATAGGTATTGGATACGATCACAATCATATGTATTCGTTGGAGAACGAAATACCGGATTGACCCACATGAGATTGTCACATGGACTAGCGTCATGACTTGAATCTCATATGACGGTTTCATGATTGGATCCTAAGACCTGAGATATCTACGGAATCCAACATGAGGAGTTGCGTGCTTTGTATACGTCAAACGTCCTGCGTAACAGGAGGACTATAAAGGTGTGTATCAGGTACGAAACGAATCATGTACTGGATTGTAGATAGTCAAGACGGGATTTGTACCTCTCGTAAAAGAGAGAGATATCGTTGGACCCCTCGTGTGAGCAAGGCTGTAGAAATGTGTGGTCGCACTATGGACGAGCGTCATCTATTTCAGACAGTCGAACTCAGTGAACGAGAAAGCAGTCGAATCAGATAAGGTGGCTTATCCATGCCTTATGTTCCACATATGATATCGCGATACAAAAGGATCATCAGTCGGAATCATCTCTGGCGTTCGTAAGTGATACGTGTGTACCGAGTCTAAAATCTATAACCCGATTCACACCTCACCGCAAGGATACGGATCATCGTAACACGGGGTCGAACTCGAGGACCGGTTGCTAAATCCAAATCTAGATCAAAAATAGATCAAAGCAAGCAAGCAAGTGATGGTAGAAATATGTAGAATCAATTGTAAGCAGTTCTTTCCCGTGGATGGAACGTTGCTCTGATACCAAAAGTTGTGACACCTGAATCCCGTATCCCGTGAACAGGATATGCCACATGGACAAAATCAATAAAATATAATAAAACCGAAAGTACGTGAAATTTAAAATCACTTTTACATAACAATACGCAGCGGAATAAACACATCACACGTCTCTTGAAAACACATGTCCAAAACGTAATTAAACACAACCGTCTTCACATGGAACCTTATTCCACATTCCAAAACACACGAAAGGAACATAAAACATTCGTACATGATGTCACTTTTCCCAAGTCGTCGCCGTCGCAAGTGCGCTACTCGTGCTCCTCGGGATCTGAAAAATTCAACAACGGAGGGCTAAGCATAATGCTTAGTGAATGGCTCGGATTGAGCCCGGAGAGCCCATCTCATGGAGAACGGTGCCAACTAATCTCTCAATACAAGAATTTCCTTATTTTATCCATTTAATATTTTCTCAATAATCATTTTTAATTCATTATCATTATTCCATGCATTTCTGGTACCTTACAGTACTGACTCAAGTCGTCAACTGGTACCATCAGGTACCATTTCCTTTCGGTCTCATCTAGTACTGACTCAATTCGTCTACCGGTACTAGATTCCACCCTGCTTCTCTATAATAGTACTGACTCTACATTGTCAACCGGTACTATTACAGAGACGACCACACAGATTCACCAGTTCTGACTCCACGTCGTCAACCGGTACTAGCTTCACTACACATTCCCATGACGGTACTGACTCCTCTTCGTCGACCGGCACCGTTATGAAAACGTCCACACAACAACACCAGTACTGACTCCACATCGTCAACCAGTACTAGTGTTACATTTCGGTAATAGTACTGACTCCAAATTCGTCAATCGGTACAATTACCAAAACCATCCCCACACACCAGTGTTGACTCAAGGTCGTCAACCGCCCCGTACTAGTACTAACTCACGTCCGTTCTATGTGGTCCAGACCGGGCGGTCCTGCGTACTCGGACTGTCCGTTCTCTCTTGTCACTCAGACCGGGCGGTCTAGATCCTACTGGAACGGTCGTTCCAGTTCGTTTCTACATGTTCGTTCTGTCTTGTCCCAGACCGGACGGTCTACACCCGGATCGCCTCAAAGACAGCATTTATCGGGTAAAGAGCAGATGCGTACGACCTGCATGGATGTCGACGGCGATCGACGATCAGCTAGTTGAATATTGGGATTCAGAAGAAGGAACGCGGAAGAGTCAAACATTCTCAAGCAATCGACGATCCCGAGCGGAGATCGAACGTGCACCCTCGACCCACACTGCAGGACGGAGATCATTTCCTCGAGTCGCCCATGAGATAGTAAGTAAATAAAAATTTAATTTAAATTTTTTTGAATCTTTTTTTAATTAAATTTTTTGGGTGCAGACGCAGAAGGAAGGTGAAGAACCTTCTGCGTTGCGATTGCTGCAGAAGACTCACCGTCGAGCTGACGGTACTTATATCAGCGATCGCATTCAGGAAATCGAGGATGCGATTCAGGCAAAGATCACCGATCGTCTCTCCCAGTTAGAGGAGAGTTGTGGATCGACCCAACTTTCGCCAGCAGAAATCAATAGCCTCTATCTGGAGGTAAATTTATATTGATATATTTTTTTTATTAAATTATTTTAATTGACGTATATTTTTTATTTCGTAGGTTGTCCAACCGGATGCCAAAGGACGTATATACGGCGTCGGTTCAATGGCGACTCAGTTGGATGGTGGTCATCCGGATGCAACATCGATCGGTCACCACGTCTCACTCACTAAGGAGGTCGAGCTGTTGAAGAAGAAGATTCAAGAGTTCGAGGACGATCGCAAGAAGATTGCCAGACTTGAAGAAGCTGAGGCACGGATTACGCGTTACGAGACGTTTTTCGCCCGGCTATTTCCTCCTCATAACGACCCACCAACGGCGCAAGAGATGCGTTCAACCCATTTCTGACTCCTCAGTCCAGAGTCGGATCTGAGCCCGGAGTCGGACCTTCTTCGACACCGGCAGACCAAACAACCGGATCAGACAATCCGGATTTGTTTAGTGTTTAATTTTTTTTAATAAATACTTTTTATTTAATAAATAATTTTTTAATTTTAAATAAATATTTTTTATTTTATATTTTTAAAATTATTTTTTAAAATTTAATTTAATTTAAATATTATTATTTATTAATATTTTTTTAAAAAATTATATAATAGATTTGCGACATAGTGCGACCGATTAATTTTGTCGTAATGTTTGTGACCGAATACCTACCGATATATTTGGTCGTTATGTTGCGACAGCGTGCAACCGATTTATTTTGTCGTTATATTGCGACCGAATACCTACCGATATATTTGGTCGTTAAGTTACGACAGAGTGCGACCGATTGATTTTGTCGTTAGGTTGCGACCGAATACCTACTCCTATTTCTGTCACAATATGCGATAGATCTGGATTCAGCGATTTGCGACAGATTAACGACATATAGCCATCTGTCGTATATGTGCGACCGACTACCTACAAATCTTTCTGTCGCAAAGTTACGACAGAATCACGATCACACAGGTTTTGCGACAACGATTTAGCGACCGATGAGGATCTGTCGTAATCTGTCGCAAATTTTTTTTACCGATAGATTCTTCTTCATGTTGCGACAGATTTTTCTGTTGCAAATTACAGTTTTTCTTGTAATGATACGAAAACGCTTAGTATTGAAACAAATCGGACTATTAAATATATAAATAATTAACAATTGTTTTTTTCTATATGAAAAATAACATATATGGAAAAAACAATAATAGTTATTAAATCCATAAGTCTTATTTACAAATATGTAAGTACAGCCATATATGGTTTCCATGCTATTGCGTAAAACCGGTGGCTTTATTCCCGTATCCAAAGGGGAGTTTTCCTTCCTTATAAAAAAAAAATACATACCATATATATCTTATATGACTATTCATCATACATATGCACACGATAAAATTTTATATGAAAAAGCGTTATAGTGAAACGAATCTCGCTATTAAATGTATAAATATTAAAAAATGATTTTTTCTATAATAAAATAAAATATATAGTAAACCATAATAGGGATTCGTATCCATATTTTTTATTTACAAAAATGTAAGGACCCTTGATTTATCTTATACGATTATTCATCATCTATACACACACGTATTTATATATATAGTGTGTTTATAATGGATTTTTATAGGTAAACGCTAAATAGTGATATTAGAATGGTTTGATTTAATTTAGTTTGGTTTAATCTGGTTTAGTTTGGTTAGGGTTTAACAGGGTATTTCATTTTCTCCTATTGTATTTAAAGAACATTGTGTTATTTGAATCAATACACATTTATTCTTCTCTCTCCTCTTCATACTGTAACTCTTGTTCTTAATTTTCTTTGCAAATATTTTTCATTTCAATGGCTTTTGATGTTTTTATCAAAAGTTGACAAGTGAAGCAAATCACACTATTAAATGTATAAATGTACGCAAATTGTTTGTTTTTTATACAAGTGATAATACGGATTCAAATCCTATTTTTTATTTGCAAAAATAGTAAACACACTTTATGTATCTTATGTGAATATTTTAAATGGTAAATTATATATTACTAAAAA